TGTCTGTCCTGGGTTTAGCAGCAGCAGTCATTTTTTCTCCTTCTTGGTAGCTGGTGCAGTGCTGTGTTTTGACTTTCGGGCTGGGAACAAAGCTGATAAAAATGATGTTTTGGTTTGGCCAAGGACTTTGTGAGTCTCATGCTCTGCCAGGGAGGAGGGGAGGCCGGGAGGAAGCAGAGACAGGACACCTGACCCAAACTGACCAAAGAGGTATTCCATACCACAGCACGTCATGCCGAGGGGGGAACTGGGAGGGACCCGGAAGGAGAGGGGGTCGGCCGGGTCGGACTGGTGGTTCGGCGCGTGGTATTGTACTCCTTTCCTTTGCTGTTTTCTCTTATCATTGTTGTCGTTGGTGGTAGCAGTGGTGATTCGTATTGTACACTAGTTGCTAGACTGTTCTTATCTCAGCCCGTGGGAGTTGCATTCCTTCGATTCTCCTCCCCACCCCTCTGGGAGCGGGGAAAGGGGGCGGCAGCCCCTGGGGAAGGGGGGGGGGCGGACTAACGCCTGGCACCACTCACTGGGAGTAAGTGAACAAGCTGTTTGGTTGGGTTAAACCACGACAGTTCTTTTTGGCGCCCAACGTGGGGCACGAAGGGGCTGAGATAACAACAGATCTGACCGGATTAATAGTCACTCATCACAATGCTGATTTATTGGCTCTCAAAGTTGTTTCTCTTGATCTCACAGCTTCAGAATGTTGTAATTTACTTAGATCTGGTATTTGCTGTATTAGTGTTTTTCAAGTGTGGGGCTTGGGCTAAAGTTCTTGTCTCAGTGTACTTTATGATGATGACTTGTAACACAATAGAATTATTGATCATGAAACTTATCTGGTTTATGTTCCCAGTATGGTCACCACCTTTATACTTTGGGAGGTATATAATAGAAATGCTTAGCAATTACACATATTCTTTCTCCTTCTCGGGTGGTCAACCTGTGAAGGAGGCATTCTTTTACCCTCCCAGTTCCCCCCTAAACGCGGCGGCGGCGGCGGCCGTAGAAAAGAGTCCAAAGGGGTCTCACAGAGACCGGGGCCGGGCCCGCGGCGCCGCTCAGAGCTCGTCCCGCGGCGCCGCCTCCTCGGCCTCGGGCTCCTCCTCCTCGTCTTGGCGCTGCCGCTGCTCCTCGTCCTGCTGCTCCTTCATGCGGCGCTCGGCGTCCTTGGTGGCCCCCCAGGTCTCGTTCCCGATCTCCTCGGCCAGTTTCTCATCATCGGTGATGAGGAAGTTGTCAAAGATGGTCCCGGATTTCACCTGCCATAGGTCGAGCCCAATGACCCCGAAGCTGTCGTAGGCGTAGAGCAAGGGGGCGGGGCTGTAGTCGGGGTTGTCGATCTCGGGGTGCACCCATTTCCCCTTGTAGGCGGGGTTGTCGATCTGCCGCGGCCGCCACTCGCCCTTGTACTCGGGGTTCTGGATCACGGGGGGCTCCCATTCCCCGTCCATCCTCGTCTTCGTTGTCGTTGTTGTCGCCGTACTGGGCGCCTCGCGGCGCCCGTCTCCGCCACTCCGGATTCGGGGATCTGAACCCGACCACGAGCGGCGCTCCGCACCGGGCCCGCCCCGGGGGGGGGCGGGCGGCCGCCTATCGCGAGCCCACCGAGGCGCCGGCGGCGCTGCGGTATCGCTACGTCTAGGCGGGATTCTGACTTAGAGGCGTTCAGTCATAAGCCCGCAGATGGTAGCCTCGCGCCAGTGGCTCCTCAGCCAAGCGCACGCACCAGGGGTCTGAACCTGCGGTTCCTCTCGTACTGAGCAGGATTACTATTGCAACA